GGGAATGGGAAGATGATTACAGTGGGAATGGGAATATGATTACAGTGGTGAATGGAAGATGATTACAGTGGGAATGGGAAGATGATTACAGTGGGAATGGAAGATGATTACAGTGGTGAATGGGAAGATGATTACAGTGGGGAATGGGAAGATGATTACAGTGGGAATGGGAAGATGATTACAGTGGGAATGGGAAGATGATTACAGTGGAGAATGGGAACATGATTACAGTGGTGAATGGGAAGATGATTACAGTGGTGAATGGGAAGATGATTACAGTGGGAATGAGAAGATGATTACAGTGGAGAATGGGAAGATGATTACAGTGGGAATGGGAAAATGATTACAGTGGGAATGGGAAGATGATTACAGTGGAGAATGGGAAGATGATTACAGTGGTGAATGGGAAGATGATTACAGTGGTGAATGGGAAGATGATTACAGTGGTGAATGGGAAGAAGATTACAGTGGGAATGAGAAAATGATTACAGTGGTGAATGGGAAGATGATTACAGTGGGAATGGGAAGATGATTACAGTGGGAATGTGAAGATGATTACAGTGGGAATGGGAAGATAATTACAGTGGGGAATGGGAAGATGATTACAGTGTGAATGGGAAGATGATTACAGTGGTGAATGGGAAGATGATTACAGTGGGAATGGGAAGATGGTTACAGTGGGAATGGGAAGATGATTACAGTGGTGAATGGGAAGATGATTACAGTGGTGAATGGGAAGATGATTGCAGTGGGGAATGGGAAGATGATTACAGTGGAGAATGGAAGATGATTACAGTGGAGAATGGAAGATGATTACAGTGGAGAATGGAAGATGATTACAGTGGTGAATGTGAAGATGATTACAGTGGGAATGGGAAGATGATTACAGTGGGAATGAGAAGATGATTGTAGTAGGAATGGGAAGATGCTTGCAGTGGTGAATGGAAGATGATTACAGTGGTGAATGGGAAGATGATTGTAGTAGGAATGGGAAGATGATTACAATGGTGAATGGAAGATGATTACAGTGAGAATGGGAAGATGATTACAGTGGTGAATGGGAAGATGATTACAGTGGGAATGGGAAGATGATTACAGTGGCAATGGGAAGATGATTACAGTGGGAATGGGAAAATGATTACAGTGGGAATGGAAGATGATTACAGTGGAGAATGGAAGATGATTACAGTGGAGAATGGAAGATGATTACAGTGGTGAATGTGAAGATGATTACAGTGGGAATGGGAAGATGATTACAGTGGGAATGTGAAGATGATTACAGTGGGAATGGGAAGATAATTACAGTGGGGAATGGGAAGATGATTACAGTGTGAATGGGAAGATGATTACAGTGGTGAATGGGAAGATGATTACAGTGGGAATGGGAAGATGGTTACAGTGGGAATGGGAAGATGATTACAGTGGTGAATGGGAAGATGATTACAGTGGTGAATGGGAAGATGATTGCAGTGGGGAATGGGAAGATGATTACAGTGGAGAATGGGAAGATGATTACAGTGGAGAATGGAAGATGATTACAGTGGAGAATGGAAGATGATTACAGTGGTGAATGTGAAGATGATTACAGTGGGAATGGGAAGATGATTACAGTGGGAATGAGAAGATGATTGTAGTAGGAATGGGAAGATGCTTGCAGTGGTGAATGGAAGATGATTACAGTGGTGAATGGGAAGATGATTGTAGTAGGAATGGGAAGATGATTACAATGGTGAATGGAAGATGATTACAGTGAGAATGGGAAGATGATTACAGTGGTGAATGGGAAGATGATTACAGTGGGAATGGGAAGATGATTACAGTGGCAATGGGAAGATGATTACAGTGGGAATGGGAAAATGATTACAGTGGGAATGGAAGATGATTACAGTGGAGAATGGAAGATGATTACAGTGGAGAATGGAAGATGATTACAGTGGTGAATGTGAAGATGATTACAGTGGGAATGGGAAGATGATTACAGTGGGAATGAGAAGATGATTGTAGTAGGAATGGGAAGATGCTTACAGTGGTGAATGGAAGATGATTACAGTGGTGAATGGGAAGATGATTGTAGTAGGAATGGGAAGATGATTACAGTGGTGAATGGAAGATGATTACAGTGGTGAATGGAAGATGATTACAGTGAGAATGGGAAGATGATTACAGTGGTGAATGGGAAGATGATTACAGTGGGAATGGGAAGATGATTATGGTGGGAATGGGAAGATGATTACAGTGGGAATGGGAAGATGATTACAGTGGGAATGGGAAGATGATTACAGTGGGAATGGGAAGATGATTACAGTGGGAATGGAAGATGATTACAGTGGGAATGAGAAGATAATTACAGTGGGAATGGAAAATGATTACAGTGGCGAATGGGAAGATGATGACAGTGGAAATGAGAAGATGATTACAGTGGTGAATGGGAAGATGATTGCAGTGGGAATGGGAAGATGATTACAGTGGTGAATGGAAGATGATTACAGTGGAGAATGGGAAGATGATTACAGTGGTGAATGAGGAGATGATTACAGTGGGAAGGAAGATGATTACAGTGGGAATGGGAAGATGATTACAGTGGGAATGGGAAGATGTACAGTGGAATGGAAGATATTACAGTGGGAATGGGAAGATGATTACAGTGGTGAATGGGAAGATGATTACAGTGGGAATGAGAAGATGATTACAGTGGTGAATGGGAGATGATTACAGTGGGAATGGGAAGATGATTACAGTGGGAATGGGAAGATGATTACAGTGGGAATGGGAGATGATTACAGTGGGAAGGGAAGATGATTACAGTGGGAATGGGAAGATGATTACAGTGGGAATGGGAAGATGATTACAGGGGGAATGGAAGATGATTACAGTGGGTGGGAATGGAAGATGATACAGTGGGAATGGAAGATGATTACAGTGGGAATGGGAAGATGATTACAGTGGGAATGGGAAGATGATTACAGTGGGAATGGGAAGATGATTACAGTGGTGAATGGGAAGATGATTACAGTGGGAATGGGAAGATGATTACAGTGGGAATGGGAAGATGATTACAGTGGAATGGGAAGATGATTACAGTGGTGAATGGGAAGATGATTACAGTGGGAATGGGAAGATGATTACAGTGGGAATGGGAAGATGATTACAGTGGGAATGGGAAGATGATTACAGTGGGAATGGGAAGATGATTACAGTGGTGAATGGGAAGATGATTACAGTGGGAATGGAAGGACAGTGGGAAGATGATTACAGTGGGAATGGGAAGATGAACAGTGGGAATGGGAAGATGATTACAGTGGGAATGGGAAGATGATTACAGTGGTGAAGGGAAGATGATTACAGTGGGAATGGGAAGATGATACAGTGGGAATGAAGATGATTAAGTGGGAATGGAAGTGATTACAGTGGG